GTGGGTTCGATCCCCCCACGGGCCAGTTTTTTTTTTTTAGTAACTGTAATTATGAATGTGAAAGTAATATATAGAGAGTTTGCTTTAATTGATTGCAACGTTGTGCAACACGCGGAAACATCTACTTTATGATGACTTTTCTGTCTTCTTGAGTGTTTTAAAACGGCTCCTTTATAAATGCTGGTGAGCTAACACTTACGTAATTAAAATATACGTCCAAATAAATTAATTAAATTGTTTATCCTTGGTATTGACGGGCAGACATGATGTCCATAGGATCCTACACAACCTTGCTCTGCCGGGAATCGAACCCATCTCGTCCAACCTGTTGCCTAGTCACTGTGCAAACTGGTTTTATTAACATGCGTGATTTAACCTAGTTTTTTTTTTTGGTGAGAATTCTGAGCTCTTATTTGGGTCAACAGCGAGCGCTTATGCGAGTAACATGTAAAAATCGTAGACGTCTCTTAACAGAAAGGAACTGAAAGTAAAATAGCCTTGGACTGGACAGCTTAGCAACTAGATCGCCTTAGTGTGTCTGTACGACTGCAGCTAGTATCTAGGAGAACGGGAGACCTCAAATTGACGTGAAGTGAGCGCCAGTTTGTTACATTACTGAGCGTATATAAGAGACGAACTTACGTTCACTTCTCATGAGTTTCGTGGCGCATTGCAACTGACACAGGACAGATGAAGTTTCTGGTAAGCCAGCGGAATCTTTATTCCTTAAAACACATTATTTTCTATTACTTAAGACTTGCTTAATATTCTTCTATTAATCTATAATAATTTCTGCTCTTACGTGACAGCACGTAACAGATCTGTCTCTTGAAAATGAGAGTATGTAATTTTGGGTTTGTGAATCAAATCGAACTGTATCGGCTTTCTGGAATAAAAATATTTATGGTGCGAAACAACAAATACATCACAAAGATATTAGTCACTTTAAATTCTATAATATTAATTTAAAATATGTTTTAATGTTGTCAGAATCAGACGAAATATTAAAAACGAATATTTGATTATAATAGGCAGCGTGAACAACTTCTCAACAACGCGTTTATTTCTACAGTGTAACGAAACTGACTAATAATAATTGATGATAATTTATTTTCCTCCATTTTGTTAAATAAATTACGTATTTTATAGCAAGACATTGGATTCTACACATGTACTTGATAAATCGTCTTTGAATAATCTATAAACCACTTTTTAATCCAAATTAGTTTTCTCTGCGTTCAATACATTTTAGATAAACTAAATACACTACTCTCTTCTGGCACAAATAGCCTCTCTATCTGCTAGAGTGTCGTTGAATGACCGGAGTAACATGCCACCAAACGAATTATCTTCCCATCGACGCTAAATAAGTTAAATAACCCGCGCCTCGTGTCTCATCGACAGTGAAGAATATCTGTTACGAACAACCTCTGAACTCTGTTGTTGATACAGGGTGATCTCATTAATAGGTTTGCCTTCTGGCCCTAACGGCAACCGCCGTGTTCGCCGCTCCTCAGTTTGATGACGACTTTGGTTCATCCTACGGGTCGGAGAGCCACGGACAGGCCGAGAGCTACTCTCAGACCAGCTTTGGCAGCCCCCACAAGAAGGTCAAGACTGTGGTTATCAACAAGGAGGTCAAGGTCCCCGTCGAAAAGCCGTACCCTGTAACTGTCGAGAAGAATGTCCCTTACCCGGTGAAGGTCCCGATCGAAGTTAAGGTTGAGAAGCCATATCCCGTCGAAGTGGTCAAGCCTTACCCTGTATACGTTGAGAAGAGAGTGCCATACCCTGTTGAGAAAACTGTCCCGTATGCCGTGCAGGTCCCTTACAAAGTCCCTGTCCCTTACAAGGTCGCTGTCCCTGTTGAGAAGCCATACCCCGTCCACGTGGAAGTCCCTCATCCTGTCCCTCAGCCTTACTTCGTCGAGAAGAAAACACCAGTGTTCCTGAAGAAGGAAGAAGAATACGAAGGCGAAAGCTACAGCAGCTACAGCTCCTGAGTGTCCAGCAACCCGTTCTACATCACTCCATTTCACTCAGACGACGTCGTAACCTTATTTATTAAGACGGTTCGCCCATGCATGTAACTGAACAATAAAACATTGAACAGCAATAATTCTGGTTCTTGTGAACATCGCCTTTTCACCTGCTCTGAGGTTTGCCCTAATTCCAGGTCATTTGTTACCCGGTCATCCCTTCCCTGGGGTAAGGCCTCCATCCAACATCGAGATCTGATTTACCTCCATGTCCTCCGAAGCGTGGTTGTGATGCATCTAAAGATTTCATGCTTCGCCGTGTATTCTGCCATCATCAGGGCAGAAGACGGTCATCATCTACCCGCACCCTGTGCGTTGCCTTACCCTTTCGCCCTGCTTCATTATGCGTGTCTCCTGCAATTCTTATAGCACCCCCCGTTCATTCAAGGTTCTAGCAAAACTCCTTTTACAATCATTTTACGATGTCCCCGGCGCAGTGTCTTAGCCTTTTTCAGAGGACCCTAATACCGCGTAGGATATAAGACACAGTTACAGTGGGACGGTGTATGAACTTTTGATGCCCCCTGGAGAGTTGACGTCGTGGAACCAAGGCTACTGAGGGGCTGGTGGGGGCGAATGCTGGTTTTGGAGGGGTAGCATATCTAGGTGAAGATGTATGCTCCACTCCATATGATTACACCTGGGGGAGGGCGGGGAAACTGGGCGCTTAGGTAAGAAGAGTTTGGAGGGGGTGGAATATTAATGGGCCACTT